CTTTGCTCTGCTTGATTTCTTTATTGGCAACGTGTATTGTTTTTGGAAGATCCCACTTCCCAAGCACTGTGACTTCTGTCCTTCCCTGCACATAGTTGTCATCCAAAATACACAACAGCTTTAGAGGTCCACTTTACAGTGGCAACAGTTATGGCATTTTCACACTGTGTGACATTCTGTAAAAGCTGTTATTCTGAGAACAGATAGCTGGTCTTAACGCACAAGAACTCAGAGGTGTTTCAGACACCAATTTTACTTCTTTCTGTTTCACACTGTATATGCCATAACAGTTACAAAACATACATGTGAACAGCATGTGGTAGATCAGTATCTGTGTTTCCTAAACGTCATTGAAAGAATTCTTAAGGATGGGATAGGAGCTAGGGAAAAACATATTCCTTCCCACTGAAAAGTAAGAAACAGAAATACAGAGAGAGAAATAAACTTGACAATAGTCATGTAAACGTAAAGTGGGAAAATTTCAAGGAAACAGCACTTCTCTTTAAGCTTGCCATTGTTTGTGAACAGATTGCTGGAATTAATTTTTGGCCTGCAGATTATTCACAAGCAATCATTCTAGCCCACATTGAAACTGAAGCTTCTAATTGTATTTTTACTGGACAAAAGCGTCATATGACATAGCATGCCTTCCAAGTGCCCTGATCAAAGTGAACTCTGAAAATGAAGTCTTCATTTTTAAAACAAAAGCATATTTCATTGTAAATCTGTTTACAAATGTGATTAGATTTTTCAGTAGTGTCCTGAAGCCACAGCATGTTTATCAAATTTCTGTGCAGCACATTCATTCTTAGCATAGTAATGAAGAAGCAACCTGAAAGCAGGAATAAACAAATCATAGGCACCTATACAATTGGAATGATCATATACAGACAGTGAACACTACAGAAAAAAAACTACTGACAGACACAGATTTAGAAATTAGATTCTTCAGTCAGCCTTACAGATTAATGATAAAACTAACTTTCTTTTCAGTCCTTAGAGCGGCAAGGTTTTCATCAGGCGCCTTGCCGTATATACTCTACTTAATTGGTTGCTCAAAACTTTTGTGGGTTACAGTAAGCATTGCTTGTAGCGTGTGACCCTCCCAGGTAGCAAACAGTGATCACAGTCAATACCGACTCCACTATAAGCATTACAGATGCCTGAGGTATGCAATATAGGTGTCCATTCATGGACCATGAACCAAGCAAATAGTAGTGGCAGATGCCCTCTGATGGTTTATCACTACGATATGGAATTAACACATCCTACACTCTGACGTATGCTTCAAGTAGACAAACTGGTGAGTCCCTTTATAAAAAGTCATTCCATAGGTATGTATACAGACATGACGCTACTTATTGACACAACAAAGTGATTAAAGCGATGTTCCTACTGATTTTAATTATATGCATATATAGGCTTGTATAATGAACCTAGCTAGTTTTCTGTCCATCTCCTTTCAGTTTTTAGATATGTAACTGTGCAAGAAAGGATTTTTCTGTTCTGCTTCAACGTCTGCTCTGATGAAACCGCTACACAGTTAATCAAAGTGTTTTATTGTAAACAAAACCAGCAACTTAAGCTGTGTTTAAAAATTACTTTACCAGTGCTCAAAAGACAAACGGCCTTTTCCACAGCTCAGAAATGCTTTTGACTAGAGGAGATGGTTTCAAAGCCAGAGACTTGAACCGGTTACTGAATAGGAACAGGCTGAATCCTAGTTAGGGAAAAAGAAACTTGGTCACATTACCTACAGAATTTACAAGTGAAAAAAAACTGTCACTGGGAAGCTAAAAGCAGAGGCCTTCAGACAGAGCTAGCATAAAGGCTGGGCACTATGTTCACCAGAGCAATCTTGCTGTCAGTGCTGCTTTGTTTAACAATAGAGATAATAAAAGTCCTTTGGTACCACTTAATTCAAAGTTGACATATTAACCTATTCACGGCGCTGTGGGCTTGATGCAATTTCTATGGAAGTCCACAGGAGTTTGTCTATTGAGACTAGTTCTAGTTACACCAGGTCACACATTGACATCATCATTTGTGTTTTGGTCAGAGATGGATTTACTGCAGGCATCAGGGAAGGCTGCAGCTCTCTATAATTGCCTAGTGCAGATCATATGCTTCACGGTAGCAACTGTGTTGCTGTACAGCCCAAACCTCACCATCCATATCGTCTCCGTCCCACCTTATCCTGCCAAGACTTGTCCACAAGCTGAACTTTATACAGAGTCGAATCATATGCATATGAATTGCTGCACAGCACATGACATACGGACAAGTCTTTGCAGGTTCCAGGCTCAAACTAAACTAAGCCTGGCGAAAATTTTACTCAGCATTGGCAGGGTTACCGTACAAGAGTGTCATAATTTCAGTGAAGGATTGTAGGCAATTCTGCAATAACATTGAAGATGCCCTGCATGCCTATGGGGTAGGGGGAATAGACATGATGTAAAACAATTAAAATGCACATTTTCTTTGGTGGATTTCAGCAATTCACCACGTTTCTGTGTTTTGCTGTGCTGTCCCAGTCCATGCGTGCAACGGAGACGCCCTAGAATGCAGGACTTTGTGTGCCAGCCAGCGAGGGGGCAAGCAGAATGCTTTGTAAAACTGCAAAGAAAAAGGACTCCACCCTCTATAGGAAAAAATGTATTAAAACAACTGGGTTCTTGTTCTTGCTTGATGGATGTTCTTCGAATGGCCATCCAAAAAATTCTTCACGAATATCAGAGGAATAGCACTCATTTTGCCCCTACGTGCATTTAGCCTGACAACAACTCATTACAATTATTACAAGCCAAATTAAGAACAGTAGCTTCAGTACACATCCTCATACAGGCAAGGTCTACAGGATGCAGTTGGCTTACTATGGCAATACTCAAAGGCTACCCATGCTGCTGCTAATTTAGCTTATAGCTACTGAATTGTAACACTGCCATTTGTAATGTGTTAGTTAAGGGTTTGTCAGCATTTCCATCGTAAACCTTTCATTTCGGGGATTTATTGCTTGGCTATAAAGATCTGCTCTAGTTGGAAGTTTGGCATGAAAGATCACATACAGCAGCATATTTCTCTCACCCCAAACAATCACTCTCAACATTAGAAAAGTTATACAAACATATCACTAATTGAGGGTTACAGTCTCCTTTAGATTTTGGCCCTTGCAGCTAAAAATGGCAAAATCCTGACAACTACAGCCTAATGTGAGCTCAGTCACGAGGGGCATGCTGGGAAACAAAACAGCGTGACGTTGCGGTATAAAAATCTGCTACAATGCACATTTTCTAGCCCATGGAAAAAGCATTGGTAGCACTGCTTATAATTACAGACGTGTTTTCAATGGAACCTTTTTACACGATTTTATACCCTTGGCATCAATATTTTGCTGGGGTGTAAACAGACATCTTTGCCACTAATTTAGCTGCACCTATTTTTTACGCGCTTGTTTCTTCGCACCTCTTCTCCCTGCCTTTTTGCTTTATTTTTCCCCCCTCCAGCGTTCCCGTAACAAAACATATATTTAAAGCGTTGCTGTAGGAAGGCCTATCTTTTCTTTTCCTTAGGGGCTTTTTTAAAGTAGGGTTCTTAAGTATAGAAGGGGGCGCGTGTGCTGCTGTCCGTCTAACACACTCCAGCGTACAACCGACGTCCTGATCGCTGTCCACCCCTCCGGGTGACGCTGCTACCTGTCGCATTGGAAGTACCTTCTGCTTGCTGGCTGCGATGGTCTTCACTCGGAAAAGCACCGTAAGCCCACCGGGGCCAAGCTGCCCGTCGTGGCTCCGACAGCACAGTCACCACCTCAGACTCAATGCATTTCAGGCTTGGGATAAACTCGCAACATCTGCTCTGCCTGCAAGGATGGGGGGGGGGGGAAAAAAAAGGAAATGGTTAATATTATATAACGTGTCTAAGAGTTGCAGTCATAAGTCAGAACGCCATTGTGCTAGGCACAATTGTATAATGCACTTGGCATTGTATAAACACAAAGCTAAGAGGTTCCTTTCCGAGGGTGCTTTACAATCTAAAACCAACAGAGGCAAAACGGAGCCCGCCTGCATTCGCTTTCCGTTGCGCTTTCCCGCCGCGGCCTCGCTCGTTTTCATCGTCGCGCCTCTCAGCTAGCCCGCGCCAAGA